CGAAAAACGAGTCTCCGCACGTTTTCCAGCCGCAGAGAGATCACCCTTTCGAGGGCATGTCGAATCCAACAGCACAGGCTTGCATGAGATGTAACGTGGACGTGAAGTATCTTGGGCGAAGTCTTTGTAGTGGTGATCTGGAAATGTTGATGGCCCAGGGTGAGCACAAGTGTCTGGACGCATGCCTGCAGCGGCTGATTGTTGACATGTTTCGAGACATGCAGGACAACATGGCCTTGGTCAGAAATGCCGTTTTGTGATTCCTGTTCTTACCAACTCGTCTCCCTCATGTCGCGTTGCATCAAGCCCTTGTTGCTGCCAGGATGTTCAATTCTATACCGGAGAGTATGCCGCGAAGAAGTTCGAGATATCGCGGTCATTGCTACCAGAACTTTTTGCCGGAATCCAACGCTTGGAACAGGAAGAAACCGAACGCCGGCGTCAAGAGTCGGAGAATGCTGCGGAGGCTGCCCCAGCTGAGCCTGGTGTGCGGTCGCAAGCTACGCAACTTCGCGCGTTGAGTGTCCTGCGTCGTTTGGCGTTCGGCATGCAGCGTTGCGTTGCGAAGTCCAACGGCGAGATGGCGTATCAACTGTTGTTTCAGCAGGAACAACTCGTGAGCTACAGCGGGTACAACATGTTCTTCCGTTTCGTCCCCTACGCGATGATGAAGGCTCGCCAGGTGGCGCTGGAAGCCTTTTCCGAAAGCTGGCCTGACTTGCGTGTTGTTGCATTGGAGACCGAGCAGAACCCGGAAGGCTGTGAGGTCCCGTTGCAGGAGGTGGCGGATGTAGTCGAAGACACTGGCGTCGGGGACCCTGTCGGCAAGGGTCGCCAACAGTCGCAGGTGGTGTCCTACAATCAGAAGGACGACTACGTGCATCGCGGCCCCAGCGCCGTATTGGCTTGCATGTCCCTGGTAAACTACTCGCGCTACGTGCGGCGTGTGTCTCGTAGCAAGGCTGGGAGGGTGGACTTCGTGCGTTATTTCCCGTTCGATGAGCACTACGGCCAGTTTGCGTCTTCTTTGCAGGCCAGATCGAGACTGTGTTTAGTTCATGACTACAAAGACTTCGTTCGAGATAGCTCATATCCATGCTGCAGGTCACGTGAGTTTGTGTTTTTGTGTTCTTGGCTTAGATACACGGACTTGGTGGCATATGCATAGCAGTGTCGTTGGAGCTGGCCATTCTGAGTCGTAGGAGCTTCGAGTTGCTGATGACAACGTCGTGGTGCCGATGGATTTACAATGGCCTGCAGCTGGCGAGCAGGAGAAGCTGGCTTGTTGCATGCTGGGGCTTTCTTATCCGTTTCCTCGCTGTTCCGGTGCTTCACATTGCGTCGAATCTTGGAAGTGTTTCGAGTGCCACGTGTTGGAGCCGCGAAAGGAAGAAGGTTTCGTGCGATGCCGGTTTTCACCAATGTGGCGGCACTGGCGCGCCTGCATGAAGCTGCGCAAAGCTTCTGCGCAGGAGAGGCTTTTGGCCGGTGTAGCCCTTCCGTATGTGAGGGATCTCATCGGTGTCCGAGAGTGGTTTCCGACGCCCGTGGATGGCCAAGCTGAGGAGGAGGACGAGCAGGACGAGCGGTGTCCAGAGCACGGCGCCGGCAGCTCGGAGGACGCCGTCTTGCGAATTCCAGCTGCTGGTGCCGGCAGCTCGGATGACGCCGTCTTGCGAGACCCGTCGCACGGCGCCGGCGGCTCGGATGACGCCGTCTTGCGAGATCCGCCTACCGAGCCGGACCCCGGCCACTTCGCATACTTCCTCATGTGGTGTTGGGGCAAGATGTTTTCCGATCGCAGCAGTGCTTCTCACGATCTTCCGCGAGTTCACGAACGAATTTGTTGCTTTTTGGGCATTCCCTGTGGATTTCACTATACTCAACTCACTGCCCTGGAGCATATGTGTCACGTGCAAGATACCTGGCTGGAGCGACTATCTTTACATCATTCGGCGAGACAGACGAGCAGCAGCCAGCGCAGAGCGGACCGCTTTGCGTACGTATCCAAAGCGGACGAAGATGGCGAGGAGGCTGGCATCCCTTTCTTGTCTTGTGTGATGTTTTCTGCGTTGTTTTGCTACTTGGATGATGACAGGACGATGCAGGGCCCGTGGACATCGAGGGTGACGGCGTCCCGGACGACCTCGAGCACCAAGATGCCATCGAGCGCACTGAATGCGCCGAGTACGCTGTGTCCATGGATGCCCTGGCGGAAGTTTTGTTCCGCGACAAGGAGTGGAAGAGTGCAATGTCGGGACGTGCGAGCAAAACCAAGGAGGCGTTGCAATGCTTGAAGCTCGTCGTGGACGGTCTCGGCGGCTTGCCAGACGTTCAGGCGGCACCTTCCGGTCCAACTGTCGGTGCTGCTGGCATTCGGAGAATCTGGGCGCAGGGCGACGCCCAAGCGGCCTTCGACCAGCAGCGTCGTTACCTGGATAAGGTTGCGGGAGGTTCGGAATGAGAGAAGCCGGGTTTGCGTTGCGTGTCTCCTCGTGTCTCGCTTTCACGGTGGCTGGCAGGTGTTTCAGAAGAAGCGGCGAGCGA